CCGTCGAGAGCTCGCGCTGCGGAATGGCGACGACGGCCTTGAATGCCCGCTTAGTCGACGCCAGCTGATCGCCGTACTTGGAGTACGGGCCGATGACAAGGACAAACTCGGCGTTGGCAAAGGGAACGGCGAGCCAGTCGGCCTCGGATGCGGCGTAGTTGTTAGTCATGAACGCAGCGGCGCGCGAGTGCAGAAAGGTGACGAGCTCGGGAGTGCGGACGTGGCGGGCGGCGGCGCGCATGGCGGCGGCGGCGCGCGAGAGCGTCCGCGCGTACAGGCGAGAGTACGGGCGGACGGCGACACCGGCGACAGCGTCGGGCGCCGACGAGGCAACGAGGGCAACGACAGGCGATGTCGGATCGGCGGGCGGGCTCGCGTCCTCGCCCAGCGACGCCACATGTTCCTCCCACGCCATCAGCCACTCGCCGACGTCCATGCGGGTCATCATGAACGGCGGGTAGAGGCCGGATCCCGGCGGGGCCGACGGCGGGAGGACCACGCCGCGCAGCGGCTTGACAAACACCCTATCCTCGAGCTTGTCAAACGGGCCCTTGTTAAAGTCAAAGAACTCGAGCTCGTCTGAGAGGTACCGGCGCCAGGCCGGCGGCGAGCTCCAGAGGCGGGCGACGAGATACTCGCGGAGCTTTGGGTTCTTCCGCCACGCCTGGACCAGATAGACCTCATCGATGGCATCCATGGCGTCCATGACCGAGAGGAGGGCGGCGGCGGTGGTCGGCGCGAGGCGGGCGATCTTGCGGCTCCCGAGCTCGACCCGATGGTAGAGCGAGATGCGCGAGGCGAGGCGGGCGACCCGCTTGGATGATGGCCCGCCCGGCGGGAGGGCCGAGGCCTTGGGTGAGGGGAAGACAGGCCCTCCCTCGGCACAAGCATACCGCCAATGGCCTGGTCCATCCACCGATGCGCCGACCACAAGCTCAGAGGCCGCCGATTTGGCCGGCGAGAGCCGAGCCGCGAGGACCACCACCAGCGCCGTGAGGCCAGCGACAAGGACCCACGGCGCGACGATGAGCGTGGCCAGGAGCATGCTTGATGCCGTGTGTCGGGGTTGCGGGGTGCGGGATGCGGATTGCGGTTGCAGGTTGCGGGTGAGAGGAGGAACAAACGTCCGAGTCTCTGACCTCGCTTTGTGGTGGAGTTTTGTGGTGGCCAGATGCAGGTCAAAGAGGTGCCGTGTCCGGGCCGAAGTCGAGGAGGGAATGGCCGTGCCCGAACCACGACCATTTTTGACCGGGGAACAAGTCCGAGTTAAAAAGCAGAGTGACGAGTTGCGGGTGCGTGACGCAACCTCCGCTTGTCACGCAAGCAAAAGGCAACCGCTTGTCACGCAAGCAACAGGCAACGTCAGCAACACGGTGGTGTAGCGATTTGTTGGAGCCTCCGTTCCTCACCAAGACCAACGACTTTGACGACACCATGAGCAACGTCGCGGGCACCTCGGGTGGCGCAGGAAGCACAGGGGTGGAGCTTGCCGAGAGCGAGTGGGCTGAGCTCTCTATTTCGAATCAGCTGCTGCTGGCCGAGGCGCATCGGCGTGGGTGGAAGTGTGAGGTGCTGGAGGGAGCATCGAACATGGCTGCGGTGTGGCCGCCGGACTCGACGCCGATTGTGTTCCAGCGGGCGCGGACGGAGCTCGGGTCGGCCATTGGCCACCGGCTTGCGGAGAACAAGGCTGCGTGCGCGGTGCTCCTGGAGCGGCGCTCGCTGCCTACGGCCAAGTCGCTGCGGTGCGTGCTCCGGTTTGGCGACATTCCCGAGTCTGATCTCGAGCGGCTGACGCAGTTTGTGCGGGCGAACCAGCAGGCCGGGTGCGCGACGGTGATCAAGCCGACGGACGGGGCGCACGGCGAGGGCGTGGTACTCGACATTGCGCCTCCGCGGGCTAATGCTGGGTCTGCCGACGAGCCCGAGGGGCTGACCGACGCCGAGGTTGCGGATCTGACGGCGGCGGCGCGGGTGGCGACGTCGATGTCGATGCTCGGCACCAACGCGCGCAAGCCTATTCCGTTTCTGGCCCAGCGGCAGGCAGTCGGGACCGAGCTGCGGATTCTGGTCATTGCCGGCGGAGTGTTTGCGGCGTCGATGCGGACGGCGCCGGTGGCTGTGGGCGACGGGGAGTCGAGCGTGGCCGACCTTGTGGACGCGCTCAACACGGACCCGACGCGCGGGCCCGGGCACACACACCCGCGGTCGGTCATCGACGCAGCGGCGGTGTCTGCCTATCTGGGAATGGGCGCGCTGGCGCGAGTGCCTGCGGCCGGTGAAAAGGTGCAGCTGCTGGGCATTTCCAACCTGTCCGCCGGCGGCAACGCGGTCGACGTGACGGACCGGCTGCACCCAGAGATTAAGCAGATGTGCGTGGAGGTTGCCGAGGCGCTGATGCTGGATCTTGTGGGCATCGACGTGATTGTGGCGGATATGGAGGCGCCGCTGGCGTCGGCTGGGTGCTGCATTCTGGAGGCGAACACCTCGCCGGGCTTGCGGATGCACGCGTTCCCGTCCGAGGGCACGGCGCGCAACGCGGCGCCGTTTATTCTCGACGCGATTCTCGCGCGGCGCGAGGCGTCTGCGGCGACGGCGCATGCGCTGCGGCAAAAGGCGGCAACACGGCGGCAGCTGCGGATGCTCATTGTGATGGACCACGCGACGTCGAAGAAGGCCAACTCGCTGTGGTCGATGGCGCGGGCGCTGGCGGACCACCCTGCGGCTGAGGGCGTGTTTGTGGCGTCGCGGTTCAACCCGGCGAACACATCGTTCTTCTACCCGCCGCACGACGCCGAGTCTGTGTGGGTCCACAAGGTCGGGCCCAAGTTTGGGTGGAAGCCGCTGACCGAGGTCAACTTTGCGACGGCGCGGCAGATGTCGCTTGCAGACTTTGACGTTGTCTTTCCGCGCCTCTCGCGGCCGGTGACGCGGGCGTTCCTCGACGGCATGGCGCGGATGGTGGACGAGTGGCGGATCATCAACGGGACGACCGACTTTCTGCGGGTGTGCTCCAAAGGCTGGCTGCCCGAGGTGGCCGAGCTCTGCGCGCCGCTGGCGTACTGCAAGACGGTGGCCGAGGTCGAGGCGTTCCGGGCCGAGTACCCGGCGATTGTGATCAAGCCTGTGCAAGACGGCGGCGGTAAGGGCATCACCCGGGTGGCGGCCGACGGACGGGTCTTTGTCGAGCACGACAAGGTCGGTGTGGCGTGGGAGGAGTACGTCGAGAGCCACTTGCGGGGTGTGCTCGACAACGCAATGCCGACGCCGCGGTCGGACGGATCTGACCCGGACTACGACCTCTTTCACGGCGTGGTGTGCATGAAGTTCCTGGAGGGCGTGCGCGAGGGCGACAAGCGGACCGTGGTCATCGACGGCCGCATCATCGCCTCCTCCATCCGCCTCCCGCAGCAGGGCAACTGGGTGTGCAACGCGTCGATGGGCGGGACATCGCATGTCGCCGCCGCCGACGACGACGAGGTCGAGCTCATCCGCAAGCTTGACCCGGTCCTCCGCAAGCACAACATCACGTTTTACGGTATCGACACCCTCGTCGGCGACGACGGCAAGCGAGTGCTCTCGGAGCTCAACGCGTCCAACGTTGGCGGCCTCGCCCCGATGGAGGAGGTCTCGGGCGAGCCGGTCGTCGCCCGCGGCATGCACGCCCTCTGGACCTACATCGTTCAGCGGGTCTCGGACCACGAGGGCTGGGTTGTGTAGTTGTGCAGGTGGAGAAAATGAAGTCTTTCAAGTTATGATGAGCCTGATGGGAGAGGAGGGCATGATGCAAGGGCTGGAGCCGGAGCTCGGCTTGACCGGCCGACTTGAGCCTTGGTCGACGATCCTGCGCACGGCGGTGGCGAGGAGGAGGAGGGCGGGATGCATTAACGGCAGTAGCTGTGGTCAAACCAGTGCTTGGTAAGAATGGTGGACAAACCAGTGCTTGGCGAGAATGGCGGACGAGGCGGACGAGGTGGACAAAGCGGACAAAGCGGACAAAGCGGACAAAGCGGACAAAGCGGCCATTTGAGAGCTTTTTTTGGCCACGAGTGGAATTCCTGACAAAAAGGCAGCACTATGTGACGAGAGCGTGGCATGACGACTTCTTCCCAAAACACATACAGGTGCCACAAGCCGACCGATCGGGAACACTCACCCACAAGCGCGCAGCACATTTCTCTCTCTCTCTCTCTCTCTCTCTCTCTCTTCAATCATGAGCGCGGAAGCAGCTGGCAAGGCCAAGTACTTTTCAAAGGCCGACACGGACGCAAGCGGCAAGCGGCAGCGGCTGCTCAAGGGAGTGGAGGGTTCGACGGTGGTTGTTTCTCCTGGAACCTTTGTGCCTTCGGATCATTTCTACGAGCGGACGCTCAATGCCGTCCCACATCCGCTGGTCTCGTACTTTTTCAACATGACAAAGGAGCAGATTGCTGCTCGCTACTCGCACCTCCATCCCGAGGTTGATGAGGATGCGCTCAAGCAGGTGCTCAACTACGAGCCGCAGCTCCTGCCGTGGGCGGGGACGGATCTGTTCAACGTGACCAACGCCGAGGGTGTTCGGCGGATGTGCGTGGTGGAGACCAACTCGAGCCCGTCGGGGCAAAAGTCGATGCCGCCGCTCAACGACTCGATCGAGCACGGGGCGTACGCGACGCACATGCAGACGGCGTTCAAAACGGCCGAAGCCGGGTCGTCCGAGCGGGTGCCCGGCGGCCGGCTGGCGGTCCTGTTTGACAAGAACTACATGGAGGCGTCGGGCTATGCCAAGACGATGGCCGACGTCTTTGACGAGGAGGTCTTCCTTGTCGAGTACCACTACAACGACGACGAGCCCGCGGTCAAGTTTGAGGACTCGGTCATGTATGTGCTCTCGCCCGAGGGCGAGTGGGTGGCAATCCGGGCGTGCATGCGGTACGTGACTCAGAAGCCATGGTGCGCGCTGCCGGTGACTCCGATCAAGACGGTGATCATGAACTCTGTGGCGGCGTGCCTCGCAGGAGGGCGCAACAAGCTTGTGGCGTCCAAGGCGTACAAGCTCCTCTCTGCGCAGCTTTCGGACTCTGGTCTCCGGATTCTGGCGCCGTACACGGTCAACGATGTGCAGCTTGCGTCGGTCCCGCTGTACGTGGCATCGCTCGGCGGAGTGGCGGTGGTCAAGTCGCCGTATGGCAACGCCGGAGCCGGGGTGTGGTGCATCACTTCGCCGCGCGAGCTCGCGGAGTTTATGGAGGATGCCAAGAGCCTTCCGTACGACGTGTTCATTGTGCAGGGCCTGGTGGGCGGGGCTAACTGGTCGTCGCACACACCGGGCGCCGGGCGGCTGTACCACGTGGGCATGATGCCGACGAAGAAGGGCAAGACGTTTGTGGCGGACCTGCGGTTCATGGTGGGCAACGTGCCCGGCCGTGGGCTTGCGCCGCTGGCCATGTACGCGCGGCGTGCGCGCGAGCCGCTGCCGCGTGCCATCGACGACGGGCTCGACTCCTGGGCGTGCCTCGGGACGAACCTCTCTACCTCGCTCTCTTCGACCGACTCGTCGCGCCTCATCCTTTGCGACCGGCGGCAGTTTGCGCAGCTTGGCATCGGGCTTGACGACCTCATTGCCGGCTTCGTGCAGTCGGTCATGGCTGTCATGGCCATCGACGTCATGGCGCTCCGGGTCACCGGCGCCAAGGAGTCGACTGACTCGTCGATGGAGACACCTGCCGCCGAGCTTGAGGAGCTGCGCAAGTCGGACGACGAGCGCGGCTTTGACGTCGACCTCTTCTACTCGCTCTGCGCCGATGCTCCGCTGTTGGAGGAGATCTGCGTCGGCATCGAGAGGGTCGACCCCGAGTTTGCCGCCGACATCCGCGCCCGCTACAACCTCGAAACCATCGTCGACCACGACCCGATGACCAGCGCGACGCCAACAGCTCCAGACGCGACCGAGTAAAGGGGCAAGAGCGCAGAGTTTATGAAGTTTGTTGGTGTGTATGCGTATGCGTGTGAGTGTCTCACAGCTCGTTGAACAGCAGCTCGGGCTCGTCAAAGGCGATTGGTTTGGCGACGGCGCGAGCCGAGGGCAGCTCCATGAGGGCGAGGTCTACGGGAGCAGCAAAGTAGACTTGGTCGGCTTCGCGGTTGTAGAGGCGATGCAGGTCGTCGATTTCGTCGGCTTCGGCGGTGATGGCGGCCTTGAGCTCGGCGAGGCTCGAGTCGAGCGAGCGGTAGCCGGTCTTGTCGAGGGCGTCCTTGGCAACGTTGATGAGGGTGACGGCCTCGCCGATGGTCTCGCCCGAGTCGGGCGAGTACTTGGAGAGGGCCATAAACTTGAAGGCAATGGCCTTGTGGAACTGTGCGTTGACGGAGAGGAACTTGCGAAAGTCCTTTTCGATGTCATCGTACTCGGACGAGCCCTTGATGAGAGAAAGGGCGAGCTCGTACTTGTCCTTGACGTCGAGGAGGAGGCGGGTGAGGAGCGAGGGCGAGACGCCAGTCAGGGCGCCCTTCTTGACGGTCAACTGCTGGGCGCTGGCAAGGGCAACCAACGCGCAGGCCTGCATGACCGGGATCATGACTTCGGGCGGGCGGACCGACGGCCAGTTGACCCAGCGCGGGAGGTAGCGATCGACGGCAAACTCCCAGATACCGGCAGCCTCACGGTAGAGCTGAGCGGCACGACCGACGACGTCATGGAAGCCATCCTCCGAGACGACGTCAGCCAGGAGCTTTGTGGCAGCGTTGGCCTTTGCAGCGGCGACGCCGTTGGTGATCATGGTCACGTCGTAGTACTTGTTAGCGATCTTGAGCACCTTTGACTTGCGATAGAGCAGCGATGTCCATGCGTAGCTGATGATCTTGTCCGTCCGCATCTCGGGATGCTCCTCAAAGGTGGCAACGAGCGAGTGTGCGTAAGGCAGGTATCCCATGAGCGCGTCCTCCACGTCGGCAGGCTGGACCCCCTTGGTGGCCAGGACGGTGTACATGGCGTCGCGCTCGGCCTGGCACCGGGCCACCCACTCGCCGCCCTCCTCCGAGGAGGTGCGGAGGGCCGCGTCGAGGCGGAACTGTTGGGTCTTGAGGGTGGGGAAGGTGTACATGTGCGAGTGTGTGTGTATGGGTGGGTGGGTGTATGGATGTGTGGGTGGGGTGTGTGGGGTGTGTGTGGGGTGTGTGGGGTGTGTGGGGTGTGGGGCATGTGCGGGTGGTGGGCGGAATGAATGGAATGCTGGGAACGGGGAGAGGGGGGAGAGGGGGGAGAGGGGGGCGGAGGGGGGGGGGGTCATAGGGGATGCGGATCATAGGGGATGCGGATCATAGGGGATGGGGATGGAATGTTTACGACAGCGATGGCAGGCGTTGAGCTGTGCCTGCACGAGATCTGTGTCGCCGCCGTCGCCGAGGAGAGTGTTGTTGGGGAGTGGCCAATGAGGGCGGCGGCGGCGGCGGGGCAGTGCTGGGTGGAGGAGGTGGCGGCGAAGGCGGCGGCGGCGCAGGCGGGGCGTGGGGATCGCTTGACTGTCGCCGGTTCGGGCGGACAATGCCGATTAGACGCTGCACTAGCGAGCGACTGCGGGTTCGCGGCACCTGGAGCGGTTCCTGGCGCTGGTGCCTGGGCGGCATCGCCGGCGGCGGCGGCGGCGGACCAGCAGCCATCGGCGGTGGCGGCGGCGGCGGGCCAGCAGCCATCGGCGGTGGCGGCGGCGGCGGGCCAGCAGCCATCGGCGGTGGCGGTGGAGGCGGACCAGCAGCCATCGGCGGTGGCGGTGGAGGCGGACCAGCAGCCATGGGTGGCGGCGGTGGCGGAGGGACAGCCCGCCGTGGAATCGGATCGCCACGCCGCCAGCCGGGTGGCGGCAGGAGCGGCGGCTGCGGGATGAGTCCAACGGGCGCGGCCGGCACAAGCGGCGGCACGGGCGGAGCAACGTTGAACCAAGCATGGCGCGCGGCGTAAAAACCGCGCATCTCATCCGGTTCAAAGGCGGCGTAGTGCGGCAGGGCGGCGACGCCGTCGGCGGCGACTGCTTCCCACGGAAACTCGCCATTGAAGTAGTTTGCATCGACGGCATCACGAAAGTCAAAGGCATCGAGGGCGTCGATGACCGCCCGCGGGCCGTGGGTTGCCATGAACTCGAGGATGTGGGCCCGGACGCGGATGGTGGCAAGCAACGTCTGCCCGGCCCAATCGCGGGTGGCGCGGCAGCGAGAGTCGCACGGGCACGAGCCGTCGGGACGGCAGTCGGCGCGTCCGCAACCTAGTGCTGCGATGCGCGCGTCGACGTGTGCCAGTAGGTACAGGTACATCGGACAGTGGCTTGGCGAGGTCTGCCACGGCCCGCGGTACGCCGAGTGATCAGAGAGCGAGCCGACCGCCGATGCCGCCTTGCCGCACACGAAGCACCACCGCGACGTCGCGCATGTGCACGACATGTGAGTGCACGCCGAGTCCTTGACCCCGCGCTTGCCCGCAGCGCAACGCCCAGGACAGACCCGCGTTGTCCACTCCATCATCATCTCCTCAAACTGGCGGAACAGGCGGAGCTGCGCAAATCGCGCCCTGCACTCGCGATGCATGGTCTCGTCGAGGGCGTGGGTGGCCGGAAAGACTCTCTCGCACACCACGCACAGCCGCATCGAGCAGTGGACGCAATTTGTCCGCATCAGACCGCGCGAGACGGCATCAGCAATCGACGTCGTCCGGTTGCACCCAAAGCACTTGATCCGATGCTTGCCGTCGACCGTGCACTGCAGCTCAGCGTCGATGGAGAGCACCGCCGCCCGAGCGGACGGCGGCACAGACGCGCACACAGCCACCGCGCGGAGATCCAGCGGATGGCTGCACGCCCCGCAGTACGGAAGCTCACCCTCGCGCACCGCAGCCTCAACGGTGTAGGGGACGCAGCTCGAGCACATCGGCGCGCTGCATTTCTTGCAGACGAGCGCCCCGACGGTAGCGGTGGCATCAGAGCCGTCGGCCAAAGACGATTCTGAACATCCGGCCGCATCGTCATCCAGCTCCACCATACAGATCGAGCACGGCGCAGCAGCCAAATCGGCCTTGGTTGGTGGCGATGGCGGCGGAGGCGGCGGCGGAGGTGAAGCGCCACTGCGTCGGGCGGCAACCACTGCAGCAGCTGCCATCAGCTCGACAAGCATGGCGTCGTGGGTCGAGAGGTGCGAGGCCGCGGCCGAGGCCGTGGCGAGCACATCGGTCGACGGAGCAAACAAAATGTTAGACATGGTACTGGACCCAACAGATTCACGGCTAGTAGGCCGGGTATGAGTATGGATATGGGGATGTGTGCGTGTGTGCGGGGGGCGATGGATGGGTATCGATGCGGTCGCAGGCCGCACCACAGCAGCGGCTCTTTTTGAGGTTGCGACGCGCGAAGGAAGTAAGGTTCCATTGCGAAGAAATTCGAAGGTCGGTTTTTTGCGCGCGGCTTTTTCTGACATTGACGCGCCGAGGGCAGGCGGGCAACAGAGACAGGTGCAACGCACATACTTGCGCTGCTGGAAGAGACAACGACAGGGAGCGGTGAGTGTGCGATGGTGCTGACGGCGGCGTGCGGGTGCTCGCGGTATGATCAGTGGCTGGAGCCGGCGACGTTGGTGGCGGCTGACAACCGCGGCGATGACGGGTTGGGGCAAGCGCGTCCAAGGCGGAAGCGGACATGGGTGAAGAGCGTGTGGGGCTGGGGGCTGGGGTGGGATGCTGGCAATGCTGTCCGAGTGGATGGCTGGAAGGGGAGAAGGTTCGATGGGCGATGAGGCCGGCGGGGGGAGGGGAGGAACCTACGGATCACCTCTTGGGCTTGGGCGATGTGGAATGTGTCGGCATCGGCATCGGGTGGATGGGCCGGCATTGTGCGTGGGTACAAAGACTGGGGTGTGTGTTTGTCACGCGGATGAGTGTGCGCGGTGTACGGCTGAGCTCAGACGATAACCTCGCCGTAGTCGTCGTAGTCGGCATCCGAGTCGGTGTCCTCGTCGTCCGGGCCGGCTACGGTGGAGGCGTGGGCAAGGTCGACAAGGGTCTCGTTGATGTGCTCGACAGCCTCGGCGTTGACGTCCCGCACGTCGCGGCCGCGGGCGATGATGACGTTGTCGACAAACTTGAGCTTTTTGCGGAGGAAGAAGGTCTCGCGCGGCGTGCTCCGCTCGACCCAGGCGAGGTAGGGGAAAGAGAAGAGGAGGAGGGTGGAGATGATGGCCCACGGATAGGAGAGGCAGCAGGAGGAGCCCGAAGAGGAGACGACAAAGTCGCACGGGACGAGCATCAAATTGTGCTTGCGGTGCCTAACCGAGGAGCCGATGCCGGGCACAGTGAGGGTGACGGAGATGTTGAAGTGGTCGTCGTTGTCGTGGGTGTCGATGTAATCGCCGAGCCACTCCTCCCACAGCTCGTCCGACTTGGAGTTGGCCATGGCGTAGTTGAACTCGATCTCGACGGCGGCGCGGACGTAGCGCTGGAGCGAGACTTGCTGGCTGCAGTCGATGACGTCGTCGGGAATGATCTCCTCACGACCGCGCCACGTCGTCACCTTCTTGCGCTTGGTCTTGGTCCCCTTCGAGGTCTTGACCTGGACGGTGACGTAGTGGTAGGCCTCAGCGATGACAACCAGGTATGCGGGCATGGCGGTGCAGGCCTCGAGACGGGCCTCGCCCTCGGTGGTTGTCATCTTGGTGCCAAACGAGCGAACGGTCTTGCTCCGCAGCATGACAAACATGGTGATGACGAGGACGATGCCGAGGCCGACAACATACGGCAGCGGTTCCATGTAGTAAATGGCGGCGGCGACGGCGGCAATGCCCATCAGGTTGAGGAACAGCACCGCACAGAGATATAGGCCGGTGAAAGACGGGTTCTTGGCCACACCCATCGACTCCGAGTCGGTCATGTCCGACCCGTCCGAGTAGCCCTCCCTGTTCAGCGTCCTGATCCCGCCGCCCGACTTGATCCACGGATTCGATCCGCCCGAGCTACTCCGCTTGCGACCGGAGCCGGCCTTGCTCCCGGCCTTGCTTCCGCTCTTGTTGCCGGCACCAAAGCCCTTCCGGCCGCGCTTGCCCGACTTGCTGGCCGGCTTCTTGCCCTCGGACGAGCCCGCGCTCGACAGCTCGTCGTCCGACTCGGCCTCGTACACGTCCGACTCGTACTCGTGCGACTCGGCCTCGTACTCATCCGACTCGTCCGACTCGTAGGCATACTCGTACTCGTCCGAGTCGGTCGACGCCCGTCCACCCTTGCCCTTGCCCTTGCCCTTGCCCTTGCCCTTGCCCTTGCCGCCACCGGCACCGGCACCGGCACTGGCAGCTCCGGCCGACTTTTTGCTCTTGCTGCCACGCATCCTTGCAGCGTTGGCGAACATGTTGCCCTTCTTGCTTCCCATGATAGCACGCGTAGGGGAGGGGGAGGGGGTATCTGCCTTTCGGACCAAGGAGGGAGTGAGGTGGTGATGAAGCGGAGGAGGACGGAGGGAGGGGGGGCGGGAGGGATAGAGGGGGGGGGGGAGCGGGGAAGGAGAGCATGTTTTCACTGCTCACGACCATTCTCAGTACCACGTAGACCTCAGCTACCACACCGATCACTGCGCTGTTGGATGGTTGTGCCCATCCATGCTCAAACTCCTGCCCATGATCACCTCCCCCC